AACACAGTCACCAAAGCAGTTGCTAAGGACATTGCAGAAGGGGTCTCTGGTGCATTTGCAGTGATAGCCTCCAAAGAAAATGCTCGTTGTTTTTACTGTGGGGAACTTGGACACTTTATAAAAAACTGCCTGGACAAACCACCCACCAAAATCTCAACAATTACCAGAAACCCCAAAAGCAGAAAAAACACCAACAGCATTCAAAAAACTTCCAACACACCTCGGTTACAGCTCAGAGCTCAGACAACAAATCAAAAGCTGTTTTCCACCCAGTCCCACCTGTGAAAAACGAGGGACATCACAGTCCAGCTTTCTCAAAAATTCCAGACTACATCAAACAGATACAACTCAGAGCGCTACAGGTGCCAGTTGATGAATTTATTGTCTTTAAACTTTACAGCTGAGAAATTTTATTGTGTTCCCACAGGAAAGCATGGACCACAGATGGTCCTTAGGACATTTTAATCCTTGGTGATACTTTCCATGGTCCAACACAAATTTTTGTTTTGCCAGAAATACAAACTGTGTCATCTGGGCAAGAAATCTTTGTCCAACTGTGCTGCACGGACACTCCCTTTTATCTTCCGCAGGAAACACCAATTGCACAAACCTTCTTGCTCCTGAAAAAACACATGGAACAGATCCCCCTCAACCGCACAATAATGTGGGCACAAGTCATGGGTCCAAATGAACCAGTCCTCGAAAGCAGCCTTTTCTGCTACAGGGAAAAAATCCAAAAACCAGGAATGGTAGACACTGGTGACATGACCATCATTGCCCGTTCAGAATGGCCAGCACACTGGGAACTTCAACCGGTAGCAGGTATGATTTCCAGAATTGGTGGAGTCGCAGTCTCCATGCGAAGCAGACGAAACATCATTGTCAAAGGGCCTGAAGGCAAGCTAGCAACCATCCGACCATTCGTGGTAAGGGCGCCCATCACCTTATGGGGCAGAGATGCCCTATCCCAATGGGGGCTTCCATCCAAGTTCAAAGCCAAGGTTTCTGACTGGCGCCATTGACAATTGCACAGTTCCACATACACCTCGACTCACCTGGAAAAGAGAGGATGCCATCTGGATTGAACAATGGCCCTTTCAAAGGTCAAACTGCATGCACTGCAAGCCTTGGTAGAAGAACAGCTAGCCAAAGGCCACATCGTTGAAACCACTAGCCTGTGGAACTCGCCAGTCTTCATCCTGCGAAAATCTGGGACAGACAGGTGGAGGCTCCTCCATGACCTTCACAAAATCAACAACATCATTGAGGACATGGGTCCCCTCCAGCCTGGCCTGCCCTCACCATCAACGCTGCCTCGAGACTGGACACTTGCCATCATTGACATCAAAGACTGTTTCTTCAGCATCCCATTGCATCCCCAAAAAGCACCATGGTTTGCCTTTTCTGTCCCCTCTTTCAACAGAGAAGCTCTCCTCAAAAGATATCATTGGCTTTTTCTTCCTCAAGGACTTTAAAACTCTCCAACCATTTGCCAGTGGTATGTTGCTTACATCTGTTCTCCTGTTCGAGATGCATTCCCAGATGCAATCATTCACCACTACATGGATGACATCCTAGTTTGTGCATCAGAAAAGACCTAGAAAAAGCACTTGAAACAACCATTAAAACCATAGAAAAAGCAGGATTCGAAATTCATGAAGACAAAGTATAGTACACCAGCCCATGGAATTATCTTGGACTTCATATCTGTGAAAGAACCATCATACCCCAGCAGCTCTCCATACAAGACGATCCAAAGACTCTAAGAGACCTAAACGGCCTGTGTTGATCCATCAACTGGATACACCTCCTACTGGGAATCCTAACAGAAGACCTCGCCACCCCCTGTTCAACCTCCTCCGTGGCAACAGAGACCTGGACTCCCCAGGCACACTCACCCCAGAAGCCCAACAAGCCATCACCAAAGTCCAAGAAGCCCTGTCTTCACATCAAGCACACAGATTTGATCCCAACCTGCCTTTGCAGCTTGTCATTTTAGGAAAGGCCCCTCATTCTATGAACTGATTTTCCAATGGGGCCCTCAACTCACAGACCCTCTGTTGATCCTTGAATGAATTTTTACAAGCAATCAACCCACAAAGACAATTACCACATTTCAAGAAATTATGGCACATCTGATAAAAAAGGCCAGAACTTGCCTCCGCTTTCTTTCAGGGTGTGAATTCACATGCATTTACTTGCCTCTGACCACTGGAGACCTGGAGCACTTGCTCCAAACCAATTAAAACCTTCAATTTGCTCTAGATAGCTATACAGGCCAAATCTTCATTCACATACCAAAACACAAACTTTTTAATTGAAGTGCAACCTTCAATCTGGTCCTGAAACCAGTTCAAAGTAGAACACCTCTCAATGCTCTAACTGTTTTTACAGATGGCTCAGGATCTTCTCATAAATCTGTAATGACTTGGAAAAACCCTGTGATAGGTTGACTTAGGAAGAAGAAACTCAGAAGAGATTCTTCCTAAGGGAATTTCCTCTGTGGGGGTTGGGATACCTGCAACAGCCAATTAGAGAAAGTTAGTTCGCTCCGTGCACACACATTTTGAGGAAGGTAATCCGGAACTGACCCTCTTTGTCTTCCGGCAGTTGAGCAGGTAACATCAACCCGAGCTTCCCCCTCTCCCATGTGGGGGGGGAGGCTCGGGAGGCCGCTTGGGCCCCGTTTGCCAACGAGGGGGACCCGATGGCCGGGGGGAGAAAAAGTTGTGTGATAAGACCTTCACGGCTTCCTCCTCCACGGGCCTGCGGCTCTGGCGTGGGGGGAGGCTGACTCTTGCTGCTGCCGGCCGGGCCTGGCCTGCCCGGGTGGTCATGAGCAGTGTGGGGCTGCAGCCCAGCCCCAGAAAGGCTCATTAACACCTCAGCCGCCCTCCCCCAGCACAGCCTGAGCCTGGCCCAACTTTAGTAGTTGTGTTAAACTTTAACTCTTTAGTGCTCAGATAAGATTTGCAAAGCCTCCAGCCTTTCCTTTGAATATGAAAGGGAATAAGAAGATTTCTGAAGTCAGTGATGTAAGAGCTAAGTTTTTAAGATGGAAAGAGAATGAGAAGATGCTGAAATGGCTGAAAATCTTTTTGTGAAATTGTAGGAATGAACTGATGTACTGAATATTCCTATAAACCATGGAAGGAGACATGGGGGGATGGAAATGTTCCATTTAATAGATGATTT